ACTACAATGCAATACGGTCATTCTCTAATATAATACTCTTAATCACATTGTTTAAGTGATAGTTTGTTTCATGTCTACTATCCAATGTGATACTTCTCTATATGATTCAATTGAATAAGATTTGGAACATCTTCCTTAGTCATATTCATATGCTTTGGCCAAAGACTCTCGAATCATATCTTAGAGTATTCTCCTTCCATCATGGAATGTTAGAGATCCCTTGTTGTGCATTCATATGCCTACATGACTAGATAGCTTGACCCCAACAATGTCGTGGACACTCCAATGGAATGTCGTTGACATAATCAAAGATCAAGGACCTAACCATTAGACATCAATGATGCCTCAGGTCAAAGGACTACTTTGCATATTGCAACTATTGAGTTCTCACATGACATGTATGTTCGAACTCTTGTTTGATCGTTGTTCAGTGTACTCGATTACTCTTTCGAGCACCTATGTGTTTGGCTTAGTGTCCAACACCAAATGACTTGAGACTAGTTCATACTCACGCTTGAGTCGACATAACACATACTAACCTTAGCGGATTGTCAATGCCCAATTGGCAATCCTATGGTTAGGAACGTTTTAGGAATGAACATAAGAGAAAGGTCTCGTTAATTTAACTAACTTAAATCACTTGTCTCTTAGATCAAATACATTCCTTGGATTCCCTTATTGCTTAAACACAAGATACTATAAATAGTGATTAACAATAAGCTTTGCCCTCTATTAAACATATAAAAGTTTAACACAATAAGTATTCCAAAAAGCTATTACATCAAATGAGTGGCTTTGTGGGCATACTTCCAACATCACCTTGATTAGAAAGCTGCTACTGTTATCGATGTGTTGCCTCTTAGGTTGCATGATAACTACCTTTTCTGCATAAGGTAAAAACTTCTGCTTGAGTTTGACTTTGTAAGTTTAGAATGCCTTATCGCTAGGTTATCTCATTGGTTTAAAGAATTTAGTTCACCATGCATGGTTGGTAGATTTTTTTTATAACTTTGCTCAATATAGATTCATTGATCATTGCGATTTGCAGCCCAGTTGACATGGATGATGAAATTTCATCCCAGGGCTTTATGGAGGTAACACTAAAATACTATTCTCAAGTGTTGCATATTGTTTATTCTTTATCGGAAACCAACCATTATGTCCTATTATAGTTTGCATAGAATTATGCACAAAGGGGCATGTTTGGCTCCGGGAAATATTCACGCCATGGTCACTTGAGGTACCAAAAACGGAAGCTGCACTTAAGAAGCTTGAATCCATTCACAAGGTAATATAGTTTTACTTAGATTACCTGTTTTGTGAGGAATATGGGATTCTAGTTTTCAAAGTTCATCAGTGGTATGTTCACTCCCAGTCCATGGAAATTACTAAATTCTAACCCGTAAGATTCAGTTGTGGTAATCACTTTAGATCTCACTTTACCTAAAAATATCTGAGTCTGTACTATTTGTTCGTTAGTAAGGATTAGAACCAAAAGATACAAGTTTTCTATGAGGTGAGCTTCTAATAGTTCCTCTGTTGGTGCCAAAATTGGAGGTTTTGGATCTCTATGTTTGGTTGAGTTTCCAGTTAGAGGAATCATTCCCAGACCATGAGCTTGAATCCACATAGAAGTCCATCTACAGCATGTGAGTTCACTTGCAAATGGCATTGGTTTCTTGGTCTGCAATTGCTTGGTACCTCTAATTTGTTTTACTTCGAAATTGTAGGTTGATCGAAGACTTTTTGGAGAGGTTAGGATGGCAGAAGCCGAGAACCAAGAGATTAGTCTCGCTGTACTTCTTCAACTTCACTATTATCCCAAAAAGCCAGACCTAACTTGTGACATATTTGTCGTCCTTCAATGTGTCTTATTCCTTCTCATCGGCGATCAGTTGAACCTTTCATACATCAACTTTTCGGACAAAACATTGAGCTTCAATCTTTGAAGAAAAGTTGTTTGCTTTCTAATTTTTAACAACTTGAAAAATAGTTTCAATTTGTCATTATTTAGCAATGGAAATCAAATCATTGGATTACTCTTGTGGTGTATGCAACATGGATGAAAATAATGGCAGTCAAATTGATGGATACACTGCTCTACATTACATCAAGTAAATATACCTTGGTTAAAGCAAAACTCCAAAGCTCTAAACGAAATCTGAATACATTGTCTTTTTAATTGGCTCAGATCAATGACAATGAAAGCTTTCGAAACTTATCTTTGGAGAAAAAGAGGCATGCATATAAAAGAAAAAGTCTCTTCCGTGATTAAAAAAAAAAAAGCCTTGCTAGAATTTTTAAAATCAAGATAGTTCAAAATGGGGGCGCGTAGCCTTGATCTCAAAATGATGAACGTATATAAAACATTACTTTACGCAAAGTGAAAACAAAAAATTTGACAAATTCTTAAAAACGTGCATGATAATAAAAAGTCTCTCTCTTGATGATTACAATAAACAACTAACCAAAAACATCTTTAGGGGAGCTGTGTAATACCCATATTTAAAAAAATAAAAAAACATAATAAAAAAAAAGTTATACGTATGTGTGTATGTGGGTAATTATTTTTACGTAATGATTTTATTAGAATTCTTTTATGCAAGAACCTACTTTCGATATGTAAAATTGTCTCAATGTAAAATCCTTTATGCTACAAAATTATTTCATTAAAAAAAAAAAAAAAAAAAACCAGCTAGTATTATTTCATGTTCATATGTGCTTAGAGATATTTTTAGCTTGAATTGGAGAAGGGGATTATCATGAGTTTGGCTTGATTTTTCTCAAAAAAGGCCAAGAGTTTGAGGTTGGACTAAATGAGTAGTTTTGTCTTGATATTCTCTCAAAGATGAGGTGTTAATGATTTGGTGATTATTCTCCACTCTAAATGTGGAGGTGGGAAGTCTATAGCATGTATACATTGGCTTCTTAGTATGCATGAGGCAATGTTTGTGGTATTAGAAGTGCTTGCTCATCAATCTAAAGGACTCTTAATCATTTGGGCAATATTCTCACTCCAATGCAACTCTATCAAACTTACCTTGAGATAAATCTTAATGTAGCCTTTGATGCTTGCATCCATCTTGCATGATATTCATTAGTTCATGATTAACTTAACACATGTCTCTTTGCCATTTGAACCCATACCATTGTTAATGATTAACTTCACATTTGGTGTGTTTCTATTGGAACACATAATAGGGCTAATGATTAGTTTACCATTTGTTGTTTTTCTATTGGACCACATTTCATTCTTAATGATTAGGACAACACTTGTTGTTTTGTTATTGGAACACATTTTATGGTAATGATTGGCACCACACTTGGTTTTTTTTCTATTGGCACACTTGGGAGATTTTTTGGAGAGGAAGATGTCATGCAATCTCTATAAAGGAAGGAGAAAGAGCCAACAGAAGGGACATGGAGAGAAGAGAGAGGAACAAGAAGAAAAAGAAAAAGAACAACTCCAACAAAAAGCCATCCTCCCTTTCATATTACCTCTTTACCTTTCGTTTACATACTGTTAAGGTTTGAAGCCATCTTTCATTGTATTTGTAAGTCTCTCATATATAGTGAAACACAATGAAAACAAACCCTAGAGAATGTAGTCGATTCGGCAAACCATTTAAATCTTGTGTTGTTTATGCATTTACATTTTGAGATCATTATCATGAGAGCACTCCCACTAAACCATTGAAAATCTCCATTTACTTTCCTTGAGAATGTTGTAAAATAAGAGAGGCAAATCCCAGAAAATGCAATGAGAGCTTACCCAACAGAATTGCTCTATGGAACTCAAATGGGGTTATGCATCAATATCACCTAGAGAGATGGAGTAAAATGGTAAAGCAATATTTCTCAATTAGATTGTTGTGTGTTATCAATACTATATTATTGATAATATAATACAATTTTGGTTACTAACAATTTGATTAGTGTTGCAGATGTTTTAGAGCATATGATTATTGATATCCTTGTTACATGGCATATACATAAGCATTCTTGTAAAGTAAGAAAAGAGTTAAGTTATGTTTGAGTTGTGAGGATATTCAAGGGCTGAAGCTTGCCTGGAATATAAATAATGAAATCTTGTATATGTCAGTGCATCAGGGGAAGGGCTTGAATATACAATTGGACGTTGGGAGAAGTTGGAAATTGAGAATTTAATTCTGAAAATTGGGCTTAAGGGATGAACGGGAGTTAAGTCATATTCTAAGTATTTAGAGTCATAGTGGTATAAGTATGGTATGGGACGTACATGCTTGTATGCCGTAGGTATGTGTTAGTGGGATTAGAAGGAAGTGAGTACATTCATCCATCTCATTTGCATATATTTCATGCATTTGAAAGAAGTGTTACAATTTAATTATTATTTAATTGATAGATCTTGTTGTGAATTAAAAAGGAAAAAGGTTAAAACTAGGAACAAAAGAACAAAATCTTTTACCAATATAACGGAAGGGTAAAATGCTAACATTTGACTCTCATAAACGCTAAGCACGCAAAGTTGATTGTCAGTCATTGTTACCATTAAACCCACACGCTAAAACCACTCCTTTTCATGAACAAATCTTACTAGTTGATTGTCATTGTATATACTAAAACACGTGATGTGAGTGATGTTTTCTTTGAAAAATGAAAGAAAAGTTAAAGTTAGAAACAAAACAACAATAATTTTGAATTATACACTAAAAGAGGGATCAAATGCTAACGTCTCTCATGCACGCTAATTATGCAAAATTGATAGTCAACCTTTATAATCGTTGGTTTTTCATACTAAGCACGTAAAAGTGATTGTCGGCCTTTATAATCGTTAGTTTTTCATCCAAAGCACTCAAAAGTGACTGTTAGTTATTGTTACCATTAGTTTACTATGGATCCCACACGTAAAAGGGTTGGGTCGGGGCGACCCATATGGTGAGCACTTATGACGGGCCAGTGATGGAGCCCAAAGTGGAACTCTCCTCAGTCTCCTCAGTCTCCTCTGCTTACTTATTCTATTACAAATTAGACCGAATTGGTACAACTGACTGAGAAAAGTTGACGTCACCACAAAAATTCGCTTCTCCTTTGCTGTTTACAGGTCAGTCAGTTCCAGTCCTCCGCTGCTCTCTCTCTCTCTCTGCAATTCAGTAAACTCTCGTACCTCTTATTTATTGGGTCTTCTAATTTGACAAATTGGGTGATTCAGTTCTGCCACTTTTGGGAAATTTGAAGAATCAAGAATGTTTTTAGGATTTTTTTTTTTTTTTTTTTTTGAAATACGATGCAATTGAAAACTAATTAGGCAAAAATGGTTCATGGAAATTCACTGCAAGAATGCTTTGTAGAATTGTTAATTCTGACAAAGTTGATAGAATCGAGCGAAATTTGAAAACCCATTTGGCAGAAGGAAATGGGTTCCCGGTAGAAATTGAAAAGATTAAAAATTGATGATTCATGATTTTGGTAGTCCAGATTAGATTAGCTTAGACTGTGCCTGTTTATTGCATGCCTTTTATCCATAATTCATAACCTAATTTATCTGTTTAGGTTTTAATTTTTGCCTTTGGGAATTAGGAATAGAGAATTTTTGTGACAGTTGTTGTTCCCATGTGGGCAGCCATGGTTTTGAATTTAGCAGCAGGTATTGTCATGCATCTAGTTTCCTCGGAACGCCATTGTTTTCGACAATTTGTAATTGAAGATTAGCGAAAAACCCGATGATAGGATGATTATGTTTCAAATGCCACCAGAATCTGTAATTTTCTCTGAAACCTTCCGTGTAGCAAACTTATCGAAATGATGCTTTATGGTGGTGGGTGGTGTGTATGCTGCAGAAATTGAGTAACTTATGGTTCTTTTGGGAGCTTAACTTTTTTGCGTTTTTTATTTCGGCTAGCTCTTTAATCTTGTACTCCCTGAGAATGCTGAGTGAGTGATGTTGTGTGCAGGTTTGCTGAGTGAGTGACTATGAAGAGGGCAGCTCCCTGGGATGAGCAGGTGGATGTTATTTCATCAGATGACTCTTCTTCCCCGGAAATGGAGATGGAATCCGTTAATGAGTGCGATAGCAAGCAGTCAGACACTAATATCACATTTGATCAACCTGACAAAGAAATAACACCAGAAGGTACGTGCAGTCAAGCTATTGGAGCCTTGTTTTGCTGAAACTGGTGAACCGATTTATGCTGAAATCGTATTGTTACCATCATTTAAGATTTATTGCTAGGTTTTTTTCTAACTATAAGGAAGTATTGTTACCATCATTTAAGATTTATTGCTAGGTTTTTTCTAACTATAAGGAAGTACGAATTCCAGTTGAAATTGCTAGCGCTTTAAACATGCTTTTAAAATACCTTACATTCAAGTTTTGAGGAAGTTATCATCGTAGATGCTTATTATCAACCTTGTATAGCTGAAACATTATGCACCCGTATCATGTGTAGATTACAGTGACTAATTCCATCAAGATGTTATTCATCTGTAAAAATTTCTGTTCCAAGCCATGCAATGCTGTTTGTTCCGGTAAATGGATTAACATTTTTCCATTTTATTACCGAAAAAGCTCCTTGGCTAAGATAATCGGCCAGAAAGTTTTGTTTTTCCTTTTATTGCGGTGCAGTGGCTGGCTACATAGTTGGCTATATTAAATGCGGACTCGCTATTGTTATTCTTGACGTTTGAAATGTACGTTTCACACCTAATGAAGCGTACGTTAACACCCCTGATGAATCCAATGCTCTTGAATCGTTAGATAGCTTTTTATCCTCTAAACGTGTATGTAATTGTAGGTGCTTTGGCACGAAGGGCAGAGATGTATCAGGACTACATGAAGCAGATCCCGATCCCATCAAACCGTGGCTCTGTTATTCCATTTACCTCATGGACGGGTTTAGGCAAGTCCATTAAGCAATTGTATGGACAACCTTTGCATTACCTCACCAATCTTCTCCTAAAACAGTGGGATCAGCTGAGGATCGGCAGTGAGGAGGAGTACAGGCCCTTGGATACCATCATTCATCCTTGTAAAGCTGAAGCCACCATCTGGCTCGTTGAAGAAGTCCACCGGCACACCTCATCTCATCATCATGTAGCAAATCTCTGGCTCAAAGATCCGATGCACCATGCCTCCATTGACGCCATCTTTCCCCAGCTACGAAGCAAATCGTGATAGCCTACAGGCATTTAGGACTGTTTTATGATGCTTGATTATTTTGTCATGTAAAATGTTGGTTAAATTTTGTAGACTTGCTCTCTTTTGTATCCTGATGAAATAAAAACTTTGTTAATGCTCAAGCTTTAGAATGTCGGTTATTAAGATCCTGAAAACAAAAAATGTTGATCGCATTTGAATTCAGTAGGCCTTCATTCTAAGAAGGACAAACCACCACGAAAGTTTGCTAGTCGTCGCTAAATCATTGGCGAAGTTGAAGTAGCCGGCTGCTCCTCACGCTTCTTTTTCGACGATGCATTGGTTCCTCAATTGTCTTCCTTTTCTCCGGATATGCTTGCACTTGATGGACGTTGGTATCATCCTGTTTCATGAGAACTGAGGCTTCTTGATGATGTCCGACGTTAGTATTATCGACGGATGAGGCCGAAACCGAGCCTGGGTTTCCAAGATCTGTGCCTCAATCCCAGTCCAAGGTGGAATATGCTTGATCCATAGATGAGTAGACGTCTTTCTTGAACAAGAAGAAAACTCGTAAGTACGATTTAAGCATGCATTACTGACGGAAAGCCTGAGCAACGAGAATAACAAGGGTTCGAGAAAAGAAACCTTTCTTCAATTACATTTCTATCACCAGTAATCACCACAAGAGCAAAGCCCCTGACGGAAAAAATGGAACCTGTTGTTATCTCGAACGGTAATTTCCCGGTTGTATATTTTTGACACAAACTTGGCAAAGGAGTGACAATCAGAGCACATTCTGAGATTCTTAACCACACGAATCGGCACTCGTTGTCCTGTTCCGATGAGCCCGAAAGCAATGGCCAGTTTCTCGCTGTGACGACTGAGCAAGTACTCCTTTTCCTTCTCATCAACATCAAGCAGTACATTGTCCAAATCCGGAACATGACCAACTTCTCTCAGTCTGAAATTTATTTCTTGTAGCATCGATGCAGTCTGGCTCTTCTCTGTGTTTGTATCACCACCAGACGTAAACTCATGGATCATTCCATTAACCTCTATGGAACTTGATCCGGGTACCTTGTGGATGCCTTTCTCCTTCAAATGCAGCCTCACTTTTGCAACGTCATCCCATTTCCCAGCAGATGCGTATATGTTTGATAGAAGCACATGAATCCCGGTCCTTTGAGTAGATAGTGTGGACATCTGTTCGGCCACATATGATGCAATTTTAACATTCTTATAAGTTCGGCAAGCAGCCAAGAGAGTCCCCCAAATGACATCATTGGGGTCCATTGGCATACTCTTTACCAGATCAACAGCTTCTTCCAAGAGCTGCGCTCGGCCTAGCAGATCAACCATGCAACCATAATGAACAATGTGTGGGGAAATGCCATGAACAGACTTCATTGACCTGAAAATGTTCCATCCTTGTTCCACAAATCCAACATGGCTGCATGCCGTTAGTAGTGCCACAAAGACAACTTCATCTGGTTTCACTCCTTGCCTAATCATCTCATCGAAAAGCTCTAGAGCCCGTTCCCCATTTCCCTCCATGGCCATTGCTCCAATGGCTGCGGTCCATGCAGAAACATCTTTTCTCCTCATTTTATCGAACATCTTCATTGCACTCTGAGGATCGCCACATCTAGCGAACATGTCAACTAAGGCTGTGCCAAGCCGCATATCACAGTCGATTTTATTCTTCTCAATATAAGCATGGGTCCACTTTGCAAGATCAAGAGCTCCTAGATATCCACAGGCAGATGCCACTTCCACCATGGTCACCCTATCTCCTTTTATTCCCTCAGCCTGCATCACCCGAAAAAGCTCAATAGCTTCCTCAAACATACTTTCTTGGACCAAGGCACCAATCATGGTGTTCCAAGAGACAAGATCACTCGTTGGCATCTCATTGAACATTTGCCACGCTGACTTCACGGCACCACTTCTTACAAAACCAGCAATCACCGAGTTCCATGAAACTACAGTCCTATTCAACATATTATCAAAAATTCTGCAGGCCATCTCTTGTTTTCCACACTTCATGTACATGTCAATCATGGCATTACAGATAGCGTCCCAACCTTCTAGTCCATTCCTTATAACATAACCATGGCAGCACTTTCCAGATAAAGAATCGCCTAGTTGTGCACATGCTGAGATTGCAGATAACAATGTAACCCTGTCGGCTCTTGGACCCTGTCGCATCATTTCATCCAAGACAGAAAGTGCCTCCCTAGCCAGTCCCTGACGCACATAATTTGACAAAATTGTATTGTAAAGAACCAAATTCTTATCCACACATTCGTCAAAAATCTGCTTTGCAGCATCCGTTTCTCCACATTTCATATACATATCAACAAGTGCATTCACCATAAGCGTATTAACTTTCACTCCCGACTCTCCAAGGTAAGCACACACCCTCTCACTCAATTTAAGATCCTTCAACTTTGCACAAGCAGAAATGACACACACCATGGTAACTGAATTAGGTTCAAAACCCTCTGCCACCATCTCAAAAAACAAAGAAACAGCCTCCCTTGGGAAGTTCCTCCTAGCATAACCACAAATCAAACTAGTCCACGACACAATATTTCTCTCAGACATTCCATCAAACACCTTGCGTCCATAATCCAACTCCCCACACTCGGCATAAAAATGGATCAAAGAATTCTCAATAAACGCATCTCCCTCCAATCCCATCTTCACAAGCGCTCCATGGAGCTGAACCCCCTCACAGAAAGCCACAACCTTCGAGCAAGAGCTCAGCGCGAACGGAAACGTGAACTTATCGGGCAAAATCCCCCTCACCTGCCATCTGAACATAAAGCAAGATAGCCTCATCACTGAGCCCTGCACTTGCATAACCCCTTATCAGAGAATTGCACATGAACAACACACCCCTTGTTTCTTGGTCCCCAAGGAACAAGTCGAAGGCTTTTCGGGCGTACTCCAAGCTTTCGGAGGTGCCCATTTCGGCGCATGTAGAAATTAGCCTGGTGACAGTGGATGGTTTACTGCCATGGCCGGTTTTGGTGATGTGACAGTGGAGCTGCTTTACTTCGTTCATGGTTTTGCAGTTTCTGAGTGACACAGTTGGGGAAGTTTCCATGGCTGTGGTTTTGGGTTCGTTTTGGGTGGTGGGAGCTGCGAAGCTTGGAGCGGCGGAGACCAGAGGGCTCAGTTGGAGCGTCGCAGCCATTGTTTGGGGTTTGCACCAACTGTGCCAACTAACTTAACTGAAATGTTTCAATTGCTTCCTTCTGCGTTGGGATTGGACTCTTGAATCGTATTGGATTTCATCATACTGTTTTGTAGAAAATTTTTCCCTCTGTTTCCCAATTGAGCGGATATTTTCATTTTTTATTTTTTGAGATGACAATTTCTTCAAAATTTAGAGAAAATGATAATCACCCTTTTTTTTTTTTTTTTTTTTTTCCTGGTGCACACCATTGTTTAATTATCGTGTATAATTATGTATTTCGTTTTTTTATATTTAAATAAAAGCGCGTGGAAATCAACTTTCAAAATTGAAACTTACATATATTCACCTCTTGTATTTGATAACGTACGTAGGATTTTAAGTTACAATTTGCAATAGTTTTTTTTTTTCGTCAGCAGTATTTAAGTTGCATGACATTCATTTTTTTTCCAAAAATAACATTAAAAAATTAAGCGATAAACTGCAATTTTTTTCCAAAGTCTTTATCCAAACAAGATTACAAGCTATAAGGGTATTTATATGTGCGACGAGGTTTCATACTCTGAAAACATGTCACAATAGTTTCATTATCAATACAAGAAAACATTATTCTCAATGTAGACAATTAAGGTATAATTAACCATTCTCCCATTATGTTGCAGAGTAGACTTTTTTAAGATATTCATGACGAAAAATGCTCTGCTCACTGAGACAATTGTAATCAATAAAATTAAAGTCAATTCAATAAGTAAATACACATATTGAAATACTTGGTGCATTTTTTATTCCATATTATTTTTAGAGTATCGAAAACATAAGTCATCTAGTGTATTATTTCAAGTATTATGATGAGCGTGACCTAGAAGTCAATGTGTCCCAAAACATAAAACATTTTAATCAAAACAAATTTACTGAATTATAATTTGAGTCAAATAATAACATTTGAAGTCTTTTTTTTTTTTTACGACTTTGCCTTTGACCCGTGGAAGACGTGTTGGACAACCCAAACATGTTAGGCACTTAGGCTGCATCTAAAAATCTCAGAAGGTGGTTCATCGGAAAAACAAAAAAAAAAAAAAAGGCGTCCCAGTAGGTACTGCTTCACCCCTCATATTTTATTATTATTTTTTTAACTTATAATTAAATAAAAATTGCAATTTCCAAAAACGAAAAAACAAACAAACATCCTTTCCCTAATTTTTCGATACCGACATGTTGTTACCAACACCAGATTTCACAGGTGCAAAGGCAGCTCCAAACTTATCTGGAATCAAAACAATGACTCAAAAAACTGCTTGCAGAACTTCCTACAGCAGCTGCTGCTCTTCTCCTCCACCTCAGACTAGACTTGGGCGGTCCTCCAAGATCCTCATAGCCACTCTCCGGGCTTTTGGGTGGTCCGGTGACCACCCAGGTTCTATAATGAATCCGCTCTGCATGTCGTTACTGTTTTGTTAGCTACAATAATATGAGATATTTGAGGAAAGGTAAGTTGTTGGTTTTGTGTTACATCCATAATAGAGAAAATTATAACATGTGCATGTCACATTCTTTATCTCTTATCAGGTGATGATATTATTGTACAATGGAACAAGGGAAAATGCTCAGAATGGTTGCATGCTTCAGCCTCTGTAAACCACAGAGGAATGTTCATATTCCTTCTCACTCTCACACAAAGAAATCGCGCACTGCCAATGTCAGTTACGTAGCTGGAGCTCACACATTCATCAAAGTGATCTCAGCCATTCATCTTCCTATAGTCTACGATTCTAACACATGGCATTCATAGCTTTACATTATGAGCCCTACACTCGGACCAGTTGATATGGCACGACGCAGTGTTGACACAGAACCACCTCACAAACACAAAATGGAATAGAGATTGATGGAAAATCATAAACCTTTCTTTGTTGATTCAATAAAAAACAAGTTCGCAACCTTAAGAGAGTCTGCAACTGCATATCAGAGTAAACCTTACCACTCTTTCTGTTTTTATCTTATTTTGGCAAGAAAACAGCCCGATCAATTTTCTTTGGTGGTTGCTACAAATAAAGGGTAAAAGCTCATGGACCGCGAGTGGGAGCAAAACAAAAACAGCCCGGAGAACGGTCTTCAGGTATCATTCCACCTCCTTTGCTCGTATCAATTGCTTCCAACATATTCACCACCTCACCCATTTCAGGACGTTTATCTGCATTTCCATCCCAGCACATGCGCATGATGTTTGCCAAAGAACTTGGACAACATTTGGGGATTTCTGGCCGTAGATTCTGATAACAAAATCGTATAATATGCACAATGAAACGCCCATAGAAAGTTATATGTCAAATCTTTAACAGAACAAAAAATTAAAATCTTTACTAAGACAACCACGAATGTTCATTCAGACCTGAACCAACAGAGAAATGTAAACTCTACGTCCTTATGTAAAAAAGAGCCATCCATTCATAGAACAAACTTACCTGCCGAACAACCGCAGATGATACATCAGCAAAGCTCAGATCCGGGTAGGGCATGTCACAGCAATAAATTTCCCATAGACATATGCCAAAGCTATAGACATCACATCTTCTATTGTAAGGCTTACCATCCAGAACCTATATAAATATCTTGTCAGCTTAATGGCTTACCATTGAAAACCCTACATGCTACCACATGAGCTACTGTACTGAACCGTGTGTTCAAACATGCAATGAGAGATGTAAGGAGAGGAAAGAATGTGATAAGTTTAATTTTTGTTCATTGACATTCATTTCAAACCCAATAATGTACATAAAATTGGAAAGAAAAAAAAATTACGTACTCTGTAGATATTTGTAACCAACAGCACAAGTGATGGTTTTACCTCATCAAGGAGGAACAAAAAGCAATTAACCCCCATAAACTCTAGGCTCGTTCCAATGATAACTTCTAATTCTACACTTAATAGTTAGACCCTTTTGTCCAAACCCCGATCACAACCCTCAACCGGCACACATCCCTTTTTTTCTTGATATCATAGCCATAATGCCTTCTCTCTCTAACACCCTTCTCAAAAGGTTGGCCCTTTATGTGGCAAGTATTAGTTCAGGCGAGGGCCTGGAATCCTTAATTTGTACCATCAGTAACAATGACTTCAGTGTGATCTACAATTATGATCCTGCAATCCGCAACTCTTCAACTAAACCCTATCACCTTCCCCTTCTCTCTCTTTCATCTAAAGCTCGATTCAACTTAATCAGTCAAGCTAATTTTTAGTAACACGAAAAGGTCATGAAACTAGTTCTTAAATGCTCAGTGGTGTTGCTCGTGTATTTAATAAGAGGTTATTAGGCTCAACCTCAACGTATTACTTGTTGGGTCTTGATGCCTGGGGATTGCGAGAATGCCAAGGGAGACGATCAGGAGGACATTGAATTCGTAATCAAGTTTGGATGCTAAAAAAGTTCTCATTTGAGTCCTTGTGTTCATCGCCTTCACTTGCAAATTTGGTGGGGTTAAGAGTAAGGGGTCATAAGGTGGGATGGAGAAGTAGTTAGTGCAAATAAGTGTCGATTTGTCCAGGCAAAAGTAAAAGGAAGGTGGCTTTGTAATACTATCTTTACTACTATGAATACCAGCTACAACAAGCAATCCCCAACATTTCAATAGGGATGTTGAGACCCTGTCAGAGCTTTCCTTCGTACCGTTTTCCTGAGCCCAGTTACCATTGCAATTGCCCCACAACAGGCTTATGGCATTTTGGTCTCCTTGGAAAATATGTGGGTAAGGTTTGGGCAGGTGGTTTAGGCTTTTCTCACATGAAAGGCACACGCTTGCTCACATGTGAAAGCCACAAGTTATTTCCACCCATTTTAAAGGGCAATACCAAACAAAAAGATGCATTTAGAAACTATGCATAATTATAGGTGTTAATTGATGACATTAAAAGTGTAGCGAGGTTTGTCGTATTTCTCTTTTCTTTTTGTTCTTGTATTCCAAGTTCATAGAGCACAACTAAAGAATTAGCTTTTAAGGGTAACAAAACATGTAAAGATATTAACTAGCGTGAATACCTCTGGAGCCATGTATCCAAGGGTACCAGTTTCACCAGTCATGTCCCTTGGATTCTGAGCTTCAACACGAGCAACACCAAAATCAGCTATTTTAAGGTTTATGCGAGTATCAAGTAGCATATTCTCTGTTTTGACATCACGGTGTACAATCTTCTGAGAATGCAGATAGCTAAGACTGCAAGGGGAAAGGTAAAAAACCCAGATCAACAAAAATTTACTGGAAAAGCATATGGCCCTGAAATGTAGAGAACAATCGAACTCACCCTCTAGAAAGGTCCAAAGCAAGTTGGACCACAACCTTAAAGGCAAGTTTCTTATGCCTATTTCTTATCAAGTACTGCTTTAGTGTCCCACCAGCGACATACTCCACAATAACACAACATGCTCTAGCAGGATGTGAAATTACACCGTCACTTGAAGAGCCTTTTGTAGGAATCTTAAGATCTGAAGTTCCCATTGAAGCTCCAATGAACTGTGATAAAAGAGGGGAGTGGAGAGAAGCGTTAAGACCCAAAGGATTATAATAAACAAAGAACCACACCGAGGAACTGAGATACTACTATTTTACCGAATCATTTAGTAAAATAACTATCAAGATCACCAGCACAAAATGGAAATGATAATCACTCCACAGCTGACAATATATTGAACATTAATGGTGCAGATTTCAAAACTGAACACAAGATATAAAGAAGAATTGGTATGTACCTTTGTAACATTAGGATGGTCAAGCTTGTGCCAAACAGCAACTTCTTTTTGAAACGATGCCCGCAGAGCAGCAGTTTCAGCAACTGTGGCATAGCCATCCTCCCCCCAGTCCAACAGCTTCACTATAATATTTAGCATGAGATTGCAATTAGAATTCGATATACACACAAACAAAGAAGCAAACAATTTTGTTGCTCTTATTTGACCTCAGTTTGTTAGTCGTAGTCCAAATTTAAATCGCTAGTGTTATACAATATCAAAAAGCCAAGATTCAATCATAATGCTACCATGAAAAATGATCAAACTCCACTGGATTCCAGATAAGTTTATATTGTCGGAAGCATCCAAGAGAGCATATATGAGGTTCAACACCTACTTACATGACTGATAAACACTTAGCGAGAAAAGAGTGAAACAACAGGATTTATGTCACATATTCGCCTTTAGACAGAAAGTTCGATAAACATCGGTACACAATTGACCATACATGCAATGGTACTTTCAATAACGGAAGCCAAAAAGTGTAAATACAATTCATATTACTAGAGAGTTGCTGCAGTATCATATCAGAATTATGTGGTTTTGATGTGTCGATCAAAATTCGACTTAAGCCCTGCAAACACAACCTTCTAATACATCACTACGTCAAGATAAGGTGAAAATCTAAAGATAAATTAGCATGATTACCATGACCATATAAAACTCACATGTCATGACTCAAATGTGAACATGTAACATGTAATCCAGTTTATGCCCAAAAACTTGATATATTCCAAATTAGTGCTTTAACATCACCATTATTCAAATTCTAATATTACATCGTTATCGTTACACTCCAAGCCAAATTAAAATTAGTGATGAGATCCCAAATTAATATCAGAGATACATGGAGAATATGTATTCAACAAATCGGCAACTCAATTGTAATCAAAACAAAAACACGATATCCTACAGGACCAATCAAAATCAAAATTACAATGGAAATGGCATTACTAGTGATTACCTGCAACATCTTGATCATCATAGGTACCCCTGAATATGGTACCATAGGTCCCCCGAGCTACAATGTATCTTATTTCCAATTTAGCTAAATCAATCTCCCATTCTTCCTTAGGCCTGGTTCTCTCAATGTTTTTGGACCAAACCCGGCTCAAATGCTTCTCAAGCTGTATATCTAAGTTCTTCAAATCGATTTTATCCGCTCGGAAGATCATCTCTTTGTTACTAATACTTCCTGTGCCCGTAATATTTGGTTCCACCTCTTTGAAACTCACACTCCCTGCACTTCTAAGTTTTGACTTCATATTACCTTTCAAGTGATCCACCATGTTTGGTACATCCGCAACTTCAACATTCTCACTTGTCCTTGAATCCATTGCTAACAATCAATGCAGAACAACCGAAACACAGAACACCAACTACCAAATAGTAATCGAAACAACCAAAAACAATCAAAAGAAAACAAGCAAATCCCAAAAACAAATCCGTGTCAAACTGCTGTCATAGAGAGACATGATCAACAAAGCTTCAAATTTTCGTCGTCATCTCATCATCATCTTTGCCAGATTCGGATGAATCCCATCAATGACAAATGCTCAAAACAGATAAGTTCGAAAAGCCTTTCGGGTTAACAAATCGATTTAACCAACAAAGGTATCCTTAAATTCAACAAACAAACAGAAAAATATGATCCAATTGAAACCAATCACAACCACCAAATTGCCTCCAGTATTGATAATGATGCGCCAAAGAGAAAAATCGATAGCAGCTTCCCTTCCTTTATATTCCCAGTTCAAAAACAATCTTCAAAATCCCAAGTACCTCGTCACCAACCACTTCCTTTTCATTTTTCTTTTTTCCAAAAAATAAATAAATCAAAAAATGGCAATAAACTCTAAGAAAACGACTCAATTTCCACAACCAGATATATAAGATTCAAACAAAACAAACCCTTCAGGTACAAATCAAACCCACGGACAAGTACCAGAAGGATTTCACGCTTGCAAAAAAAATCCCAATCGATCCCAAAAGATGAATAATTTATAGAGATAGGCGAAAAGGTTGGCCCTTGAATACTACAGAATAGAAGAAAGACAACGTTTTTGGGGTGTTTTGGCAGGTTGGGGCTAATAGGTTGTCTATCGTTTCGGTTTGGTTTTTCCTTTGCGGATGAGATTTCGCGAGAGGATTAACCAAAAACCAGAACAGGCAGCCACAGCCAGAAGGCAGAAGCGAATGAATGAGAGTTTTAGAGAGAGAGAGAGAGAGGGGAGGAGAGAGAAAAAGGGGAAAGGAGCGAGAGAGAAGCGCGGGTTTGCCTAATGTACGGCTTTAGAGGAGAGAGACAGGCTGTTTCAAAAATTAAGGAAAAGAAAAAGGACGAGAGGTACAATTGAGAGGTACAGACGGATACGGGAAAAGCGGCGACAAATTAGTTGGACAAAAACTCAATCTTTAATTTGTTGAAAATATTTGGCAGATTAATGGATGTCGACATGGATTTTCAATACCCACATAGTAACGTGGATTTTAGAAATGAAGGTGATCGTATTTTCAAAAGATCACTGAATTTATTCTATAAATAGAGCATTTCGCGTACTATCAAAATACAGAGAAAAGAAAAGATAAATAACATCAGCATGTATCTATCCCTCTTTTATTTGTCATCCCCTTGTATTACAGTATGATATTTTACACATACTTCACTCCTGTCACTAGTAAATGTTATTTCTCTAACTTTTATTTATTTATATCAAGTTATCAGCACAACTCTCCAATCATTTCTCATTTCTCTTCGCCGAAAGAAAAAAAAATGTTTCCTCTAAGGATTTTACTGTACATCTTTTTCTTCTGCCTCAACTGCTGGATATACCCTCGCGAGGAACTGTTTGCATCATGCTTACTTCTAGTTCTCAACCTAACAGTTACATATATCTTTGATTTCTTATTTGGTGTAGATCTTGATTATTAACCCAGTATTTATTTATGTTAATTTTACTGTAATTCAAGATAATGCTATACAATCGCCCATCTTGAATTACAAATTTAATCTTACTGCAATCTGTTAGGGTAAAATTGGCAATCCCTGACATAATGACTGAGTCTGTAATAGTTTAGACTTGTTATACATTTTCAATTGTAATAGTTTAAGTCTAGGAAGGGTTCTCACACTTTCGATGCAAAGATGTTACCTACACGCGATAAATATTCAGGTACGTTTGCATGCATACATCCAACTACATTCATCTATATCTCATGTTATTGTTTTTGATATAGGACTCTTAACCATTGTGTGATTTATCTCTTTAAAATATCTTATTCCTTTATATTCGAGATTTTAAAGCATGCAAAATAGTCTAATTGCATTGGGACTTATCTGTTGGATGTTGATAAGAGCCATCTGGTTATATGGCTTGGATTCTTATCGGTTTGAGTCGGTTAGGCATTAAGCTCGTATAAGAGTTGTAAAACCCTTGGAAAAAGGGTGCGGCATATATGCATGCTTTTATTAAAAGATTCAAGGGCAGCAGCTTTGTGTTTTGAAAAGCATATAACATTATTTTTTAAGTGGCTGCTAGATAGTGGTTTTGATTAGAATGTGTTTAAAGGAAGCCGCATATGCATGTTTTTGTGGGGAACAAGATTGGCAGCAACTTTGGTTTTTAAAAGAGAAAACATTACCTTCAGTGCATGAATCTAAAATTAACTTTTCAGTAGCTGCCATCTTGTGGTTTGAATAGCATGTGTTTTTAACGGGAAAATATTATTTTCATGCTTATTTTCATTTGGTTTTTGTTGAATATCAATTATGAAAATGTGCCTTGTGATTTTCGTAATTGATTGATTTTTCAACCACACACTTCATCATATAAACATTCTGCATGATCGAGTTAGCATCATGCAAAGTTCGAGGGAAAGGTGATTGACGGTTGCGTTAGTACCGTGCCACTTCAACTCGAGGACTGAAGAAAGATCGAGTAGCAAAGCGCGAAGACAAAGCTGCCAACTGGTATGAGTGTCTAGTTGATGAGTTTTGTAAGTCTTTATGTATTCTTTCTTTCTTAGTGCTTCCTGGCTTGGTAGCCCGAGGATTTTCCCAGTGGTGGGTTTTGCCTCGTTAAATCCTACATCATGTGTGTGCTTTTTATATTCATGTTGAATATTTGTGTAGGATTAATTTTGCATAACTGATTAATTGAAACCATAATTTGCTTTAGCGTTAAGTTCTCATTTATAGATTAAGTTAGTACCCATCCTAGGACTTTCAATTGGCACCAGAGCAGGTCACTAAAAATATCTAGTGAGATCCGTGGGTAGTCTAGGATGAATCGGTCTATGGGTTCAGTTTCTCATCCGCCACATTTTGATGGCGACAACTACGCTGCATGGAAGGCAAAGATGAAATCATTTCTCTGGGCGCTTGACGATAGAGTGTGGCTTGCGGTTGAAGAAGGCTGGGAACCTCCAACAGTTGAAGAAACCAAAGGCGAAGGACAGTCTTCTGTCACTATTTCTATGCTTAAGCCTAGAAAGGTATGGAGTGAAGATGAACGCAACTCTAGCACATTCAATCAAAGAGCATTGAATGCGTTGTTCACTGCCGTTTCGCCTGAGCAATTTAACTACATCAGTAAATGCTCAACGGCGAAAGAAGCTTGGGATATTCTTGAAGTTACTCATGAAGGTAACTCCACTGTCAAAGAATCCAAGCTTCAAAATCTCATCACACAATTTGAAAATATCAAAATGCTAGATGATGAGAGTTTTTCTGACTTTTATGCTAAACTTAGTGTAATTGTCAATGGTTGTCACAATCTTGGTGACAGCATCCCAGAACATAGAGTTGTTAAGAAAATTCTAAGGTCTCTTCCTTCTAGGTTTCATGCGAAAAGGACAGCTATAGAAGAATCGAAAGATTTAAACACCTACAAGTTGGAACAATTGATTGGGTCATTACAAACATATGAGTCTGACTTTACTGAAGTCAAGAAAGGAAAAAATGTAGCCTTCAAAGTCAATAATGAAAAAGTGAATGAGGATTCATTTGAAAACCTGACTCAAGATGAATTTGCTCTTCTCACCAAACAAGCTAGAAAATTTTTGAAACTTAGAAGTTCCAGAGGACGTGAAAATCGAAATAATTTTGATTCAAAAGTTCCTCGTTCTCGAGATTTGTCTCATGGAAATTCTTCTAAGTTTGTCAAACTTGGTGAAAAGAAAAGTTCAAATGACAGAGACAAGTGTTTTGAATGTCAAGGGTATGGACATCATGCTCATGAATGTGCCAATACTCTTAAAAAGCTGAAGGATGAAAAGAACAAGGCGTTAACTTCCACGTGGAGTGACAGTGATTCAGAGAAAGACACGGCATCTGAAGATGATGAGGAAGTGGTTGCATTTTTTGGAACTTTTGATGGATATGAGACGGATGATTCGGAAGTTGAAGAGCCTGATTCCGTAGAAGTCTTACAAAAGTACACTGCACTGTATGATATCACCATGAAAGTGAAGAAGGAAAATGAAGAACTGAAAAATAAACTCGTGCAGCTTGAAAGTGAGAAGAATGAAGCAGAAATCGAGCATCAATCTCAAATGGAACATGCAGAAAAGCTACGAGAGTCAATGTTGGAAAAGTTACATATGCTAGCATCAGACAACAAAGGTCTTGAAAATGAATTAAGTAACATAAAGAAGAAAGTTGAAGAGTTTAGCATTGGCTCAAGCAAAATTGACAAAATGTTGAGCTATGGAAAGATTTCAGGTGATAAAAGCGGTCTAGGTTTTGATATAACTGGAAGTTCGTCCACTTCTGTTACCAAGTTTGTTAAAGCGTTACAAGAACCTAGCATGAAAGTAAGTAGTGATGAACCTTTTGGAAATTCGTGTATCACTACAAAAGAGTCAAATTTCGTAAGAAATTTTGTTGGACCAAAGAAGTTCATTAGGTCAAAAACTTTTATTCCTATTTGTCACTTCTGTGAAAAAATAGGACATATCAGACCTAGGTGTTACAAGCTTCAAAAGGAAAATAAGACTAAAACTTCTTGGATTTCTGAAAAATCAAATCTCAAAGGGAGATTTGTGGCTCACCCAAAGGGAATGAATAGAATTTCAAAAATAATGCCAAACTTCCTTACTCCAAACTTAAAGCAAGTATGGAGAAGAAAAGAGACTCAAATTTGTCTATTGGATAAGGTGTCACCTTCATCTGAGGAAGACAATCTTACATGCTTGGTGGCATTCACTGCTCTCTCATCTTGTCAGTCTGATACTTGGTATCTAGACAGTGGTTGCTCAAGGCACATGACTGGAGACAAAAGATGGTTCACATCTTTCACTGAGGATTGTAAAAATGGAGCAGTCACTTTCGGAGATGGAAAAAGAGCAAGGATTGTTGGAAAAGGAGAAATCAAAACTCTAGGAATTCCATGCTTAAAAGATGTCATGTTAGTTGATGGACTTAAAGCTAACCTAATTAGCATCAGTCAAATTTGTGATGATGATGATGCTGAAGTATTGTTCAATAAATTGAAATGTTGTGTGAAAGTTGCTAGCGGGATAGACATTTTTGAAGGAAAAAGGTCTAAAGACAATTGTTATTGTGTGAATGCAAATGAATCACATGTGCCAAATATATGCAACAAAGCAACTGATGATGTTCTGGATTTATGGCACAAAAGATTAGGCCATATGAATTGTAAGGATATGATCAAGCTTTCCAAGAAGGAATATGTGAGAGGTTTACCAATGTTGGCTGGAGAACTTGGAATTTGTGGAGAATGTCAAGTGGGAAAGCAAACAAAGAGTTCACACAAGTCAACAAACTACATCTCAACCTCACGACCTTTGGAGCTGATGCACATGGACTTAGTTGGACCGGTACAGACCGAAAGTATTGGGGGAAAGAAATATATTCTTGTCTTGGTGGATGATTTCTCACGTTTTACTTGGGTTGCATTCTTGCGTGAGAAATCTGATGCGTTCAAAGCATTTTGTGGCTTGTTGAATAGAATTCAAAATGATAGAGTTGCTTCAAATGATCGTGTGATAAAACTCAGAACCGATCACGGAACTGAATTTGAAAACACATCATTTTCTGAGTTTTGTGATGAAAAAGGAATTGCTCATAATTTTTCTGCTCCAATCACTCCTCAACAAAACGGAGTTGTTGAACGGAAAAATCGTGTGTTGCTTGACATGAGTCGTGTCATGCTGACTAGCGCTCGTTTGACAAGTCATTTTTGGGCTGAAGCAGTCAGCACCGCTTGCTATACTGCAAATAGAGTCTATCTTCGACCTGGTACAAAGTGCACACCATATGAGATTTGGAAAGGAAAGAAACCAAACGTGAAGCATTTGAGAGTGTTTGGAAGTATATGCTACATTTATAGAGATAGAGAAATGTTAGCAAAATTCGATTCACGAAGTGATATTGGAATTTTTCTAGGATACTCTCTCACTAGTAGAGCATATAGAGTGTTCAACAAAAGAACTAAAAATGTCATGGAGTCCATTAATGTTGTTGTGAATGACTCCTCCTTAAGTATTGAACAACCTGCTTCAGATGAAGAATTTCTTCAAAGTAAATTAATCGATGAGCCATCCACTTCTCAGGTTGAAGTGCACCAAAATGTTGACTCAACAAAATCGTTGAGAAAAGGACATAAGCAAGTGCAAAAAGATCACTCCAAGTCCGACATTATTGGCAACGTGGAAGATACCATACTAACAAGAAGCAAAACTACTGCTGTAGTAAACTTCACGTGCTACATATCAAAGATTGAGCCAAAAAATGCCAAGGAAGCTCTTTTAGATGATGACTGGATTATGGCCATGCAAGAGGAACTCAATCAATTTGTTCGCAATGATGTATGGTATCTTGTTCCCCGACCCCAAGAAACAAATGTTATAGGAACAAAGTGGGTGTTTCGGAACAAAACTGATGAACATGGCATCATCACGAGAAATAAAGCTCGTCTCGTGGCTCAAGGATACACTCAGGTAGAAGGTTTGGATTTTGATGAGACGTTTGCACCCGTTGCGAGATTGGAGTCCATTCGGTTGTTACTGGCTTTTGCATGTCATCTGCGTTTTAAATTATATCAAATGGATGTCAAGAGTGCCTTTTTAAACGGAGTACTTCAAGAAGAAGTATACGTGGAACAACCAAAGGGGTTTGTTGATCCAAAACATCCTGATCATGTGTATCGATTGAAGAAAGCTTTGTACGGTTTAAAACAAGCTCCGAGAGCATGGTACGACAAACTCTCATCGTACTTGTTAAGAAAAGGTTATACACGTGGAGCTGTTGACAAGACTTTGTTTGTCAAAAGAATCAAGAAGGACGTGGTGATAGCACAAGTATATGTGGATGATATAGTATTTGGGTCCACATCTGCCACACTTGTAAAAGAATTTACTGAGGTCATGCAGAGTGAATTCGAAATGAGCATGTGTGGAGAACTAAATTTTTTCTTGGGATTACAAGTCAAACAAAGTGAGGATGGTATTTTTGTCTTTCAGACAAAATATGCTAGTGAACTAGTTAAAAAATTTGGCTTGCATTCAGCAAAACCCGTCTCAAATCCCATGGCAACAACCACAAAACTTCACAAGGATCCAAATGGAAAAAGTGTTGATCAAACACTTTACAGGAGCATGATTGGAAGCTTGTTGTATCTTACTGCTAGTAGGCCTGATATCTCTTTCAGCGTTGGTGCTTGTGCACGTTATCAAGCTGATCCAAAAGAATCGCATCTGGAAACTGTCAAAAGAATCATCAGGTATGTGAGTGGTACAATTGATTATGGTCTTCATTATTCCTTTGAAACTAATTCTGAAATTGCTGGATTTTCCGATGCCGATTGGGCAGGAAATGCTGATGACCGGAAAAGTACTTCTGGAGGTTGTTTCTATGTTGGAAATAATCTTGTTGCTTGGCATAGTAAGAAACAAAACTGTGTTTCTTTATCCACTGCCGAAGCCGAATATATAGCTGCTGGTAGTTGTTGTACGCAATTGCTTTGGATGAAGCAAATGCTTAATGATTATGGCATTCATCAAAGTTCCTTTTCTGTTTTCTGTGACAACACTAGTGCCATAAACATTTCCAAGAATCCTGTTCAACATTCTCGTACCAAACATATTGACATTCGTCATCACTTTATTCGTGTTTTGGTAGAAGAGAAGGTTTTAGTACTGGAATATATTGCCACTGAACATCAACTTGCAGACTTGTTTACTAAGCCTTTAGACACTCATCGTTTTGAAACCCTTCGCAAGGCTTTAGGAATATGTCGTGTGTCTTAACTTCTGTTTGTTTTCATTTTTTACTCCTTGTTTCTCTCTTTTCATTTTTCTAGCTTCATAAAAAAAAAAAAAAAAAAAAGGGATTTTCCATATCTTTTTATGCACAACTTTTGTCCACAAAATTCTTTGCTTTGTGCTCAACATGATATATTTTGCCTTGGTGGTTGATACTATACGTATGTTTTCTGATTAAACATGACTACTTGCCAGAAACTCTACACCCTGTGAGCTTTTGAGCCTCCATTAGTGTATGCTATTTTCATACACTCTTAATTGTTTCTGTGTGCTATATCTTATGTGATTTGACTTTCTAGAACTTGCTTTGAGATCTCTCAAGGCTTTGTATCACTTCTTACTCTCCTTTTGAGATGAAATTAGGACTTACGTTCTACATCATTATCCAATAAAGCCAGTGCCTTATCATTTTTCCTATCTGCATTATTGAGCCTCTCCGTAAGTGTATCTTACCCTCTTCCATTTTTATACACTGATTCTCACCTCCGTTGCAACATCAAAGACAGTTGCATCAAATATTTTTTTAGAAAGGTCCACGGTTGGTTCACTACTGAAGACCACAATATTGTGATGATAGCACCCTCCCTAGTTAAGAAAAGATTCGAAAGAAAGAAAGAAGAAAACAAAAAAAAAAAAAAAAAAAAAAAAAAAAAAAAAAAAAAACGAAAAAGGGAATAAAAAAAGGTGTATGTCCGACATACGCATAACAAGGGAATCAAAAGGTGTTTTTCTCTGAAAATCCTCAAAGGTCCAGTTATACTTGAAGACCACGCATATATCCACTGTGCATACCACTTTACATTGCTCTAGTGTTTCTCTCTGCATCAAACTCTCTCCAGTTTTGAGTCTCACGGACTCTATAGCTTCTCAAACTTCTGTTCCCCTTATTCCTTTCTAACTTCATCCAGTGCCTAAGCCCTATTCCAATCCTTCGTAAGAACTTACTTCATCTCTTGAGGGTAGGTTGTTGATGTGTGGAGATGAGATTGATCTGCAAGCCTATGGTAAAGCATTCACATAATGATTCTTTTTGAGTGTAAACACTTCACCCCAAACACTTTGAGTGATATTTCATAATATTCCCTGTGAGTTTCGGAGTTGATGTTGAGATGGCTTGTTTAATCATATTGCATGTATATGGTTTCGACTATTTTAGCAATCTCCTGGTTGTATTATGTTTCTGTGGCCATTACATTGATTATTTTGTTTTATTTCTTATCTTTTTGGTATTTTATTTCTTATCTTTTTGGGTGTTTTATTTGCTTTGCAATTGGAGTCAATTGGGGTTCTTTCTTATTTATAGTCGTTGTTTTTTTTATTTTTGTTCATTGCATGTTGATCACAAAACCATTTTTTTTTTCATGGCATCCTCACGCAAGTCTGCATGTCCTCCTATTCGGAAAGGCAAGACTCCTGCTATTACTCCTTCCTTCTCTCCTCCCCGTACACGTTCTGCGAAACGTAAATTGTTTTCTTCCCCATCTGATTGTTCAGCTTCGCCTGATATTAATTTTTCCCAAGCGGTCCTCCAGCAAATGCTTGATCTGAACAAAAAATTTTCTTTGCTCGAACGTTTCATTAAGTCCTCCACAAATGATCTTAGTCATCGTATTTCTAATTTGGAGCAATGTTTTCATCGCCTTCCCAACCACTTGTTTGCTCCTCTTATTCATATTTCTTCCTCTGATGATGAGGATGACTTCCACCCTGATTGTGTTCCATCGTCTCCTCGTCCTCCTTGCCCACCTATTCCGGACCACTCACCGCTGCCTACTCTTA